CGGACCTACCAGGAGCCGACCTTACGAACGCTTCACCCCGACCACGATTCCAATTTCCGAGATCCTAACAAACATCGAGGAATCTGGAATGGAAAAACTACTCAAGCGTCCTGAGAAGCTTCGGGGAGCCCCGGAGAGGCGCAGCAAGGACAAGTATTGCCGCTTCCATCGGGAGCACGGCCATAACACGTCAGACTGCTGGGAGTTGAAGCGCCAAATTGAGGATCTAATTCAAGATGRCTACTTCAAGAAATTTGTGGGAAAGCCCARGACCAGCTCAGCAGAGAAAAAGGAAGAGCRAAAGCGTTCAAGGACGCCGCCCCGGYGCACTGACCGACCTGCGGTCATCAATACCATTTTTGGAGGGCCAAGCGGGGGTSAGTCCGRACATAAAAGAAAGGAGTTAGCCCGTGCRGCCAGGCGCGAGGTGTGCATCATCAGGGAGCAGGGGCCRACCTGCCCAATCACCTTCGACGGTGCAGACTTGGAGGAGGTCCACCTGCCCCACAATGATGCACTTGTGATTGCTCCCTTGATTGATCATGTGGTGGTCAAGAGAGTGCTGGTAGACGGGGGCGCATCCGCTAACATCCTGTCCTTACCGACCTACTTCGCCTTGGGATGGACGAGGTCGCAATTGAAGAGAAGCCCGACACCGCTGGTTGGGTTCTCTGGAGAATCGGTCATCCCAGAGGGTTGCATCGACTTGYCGGTCACGCTGGGGCAGGACCAAACTCGGGTCACTCAAATGGCCGAGTTCGTGGTAATTGACGGTAGATCGGCCTATAACGCCATCTTTGGGAGACCCATCATCCACTCATTTCGGGCCATTCCCTCCACACTTCATCAAGTTTTGAAGTATCCCACCCCCAATGGCGTGGGCACGGTCCGAGGAGAACAGACCGCTTCGAGGGAGTGTTATGCCTCCGCACTCAAAGGCTCATTGGTCTGCGCCCTCGAAACTCTCGCCGGTAGGGGTGGGACGCTCGAGTTCGAGGCTGACCTGCCAAGGAAGGAATTTGCCGCACCCACTGAGGAGCTCGAGCTTGTTCCTCTGCTTAGTCCCGAGAAGCAGATAAACATAGAAACCAAGCTGGGGGCCACCGA